ACAATTCTTGTTACCGCTATTTCTGGAAAAGTACTGGATGGATCTTTCTCAAATTTCATATGCAGGTTCCCCTTGGTCCCTAGTTGTGCATTGTACCTTTTTTGAACTGATTCACATTCCAGATGGCCGACAGGTGGCCATCTTGGATTTTGGAAGTAAAAGTTTGTTACCGCTATTTCTGGAAAAGCACTGGATGAATCTTTCTCAAATTTCTTATGCAGTTTCCCCTTGGTCCCTAGTTGTGCATTGTACCTTTTTTGGACTGATTCGAATTCAAGATGGCCGACAGGTGGCCATCTTGGATTTTTGATGTAAAACTTTGTTACTGCTATTTCTTGGAAAGTACTGGATGGATCTTCCTCAAATTTCATATGCAGTTTCCCCTTAGTCCCTAGTTGTGCATTGTACCTTTTTTTTGACTGATTCGCATTCAAGATGGCAGACAGGTGGCCATCTTGGATTATGAATGTAAAAGTTTGTTACTGCTATTTCTTGGAAAGTACTGGATGGATCTTTCTCAAATTTCATATGCAGGTTCCCTTTGGTTCCAAGTTGTGCATTATACCTTTTTGGACTGATCCGAAATCAAGATGGCTGACAGGCAGCCATCTTGGATTTTGAGAGTAAAATCTTGTTACTGCTATATCTGAGGAAGTACTGGATGGATCCGTCTGATATTTCATAGATGTTGGTTTCCCTTGGTCCCTAGTTGTGCATTGTACCTTTTTTGGACTGATTTGAAATCAAGGTTGCCCACAGGCAGCCATCTTGGATGTTGACAGTAATACAGCACAAGCATATTGTCCATTATCCACCTGTAACTGACTGCTATCTAATAATACTTTGGGATCTTTTTCAAATGATATTTGCTAATAGGTGCTTAATAAAAATATCTTGTGCCATCATTGAGTACATTCAATGAAGACCAATTCATGAACATTTACAACACCTGTAACAAACAAAAAAAAAATAAACAAATCTTCAAGAACTGAAAAGAGATCCTCAAATGGTGGGCGCCAAGATCCCTCTGGGATCTCTTGTAATAGGATGAGGGTCATGTTTTCTCTGGATTTTGTTTCCATCATAAATCAAATTCTAATCTAACACTACATTAAACTTTGAAAATTTTGTTAAAATTAAAGAATACTTTTTGTATATGTGTCTTAATTTACTAGGATACTCGGGATGGTGTATCCTCATTTACTAGGATACTAGGGATGGAGTATCCTCATTTACTAGGATACTTGGGAAGGAGTATCCTCATTAACTAGGATACTCAGGATGGAGTATCCTCATTTACTAGGATACTAGGGATGGAGTATCCTCATTAACTTGGATACTCGGGATTGAGTATCCTTATTTACTAGGATACTAGGGATGGAGTATCCTCATTTACTAGGATACTCACGATGAAGTATCCTCATTTACTAGGATACTTGGGATGTATTATCCTCATTTATTTGGATACTCGGGATGGAGTATCCTCATTTACTAGGATACTCGGGATGGAGTATCCTCATTTACTATGATACTCGGGATGGAGTATCCTCATTTACTAGGATACTAGGGATGGAGTATCCTCATTTACTAGGATACTCGGGATGGAGTATCCTCATTTACTAGGATACTAGGGATAGAATACACATGTATACAAATGATTTACGAGACATTTACAAATTTTATTGGACAGTACCTAATACCTGGTATTTCATAATAGTATCAATATTTTAGATTCAAAGGATTTGTGTTTTGTAAGTTTCTATGTGTATATTTTGATAATTGTGGTTTAGTTGTTTAATGGTCACTGATGAATAAACTTCAATGATAATAAAGTCTTTATTTTAATTTCTCAGTCTTTAGTTAGAAATAAATTTGATAAATAGCATCATTGTATTTTGTAGTGCCATTTGGAAGTTATGAGGATTCTCATGGTTAAATCTATTGTCTTAAATAACTATAACAAGCTACACTGTGTGACAACTGACTGTAGTGTTTACTTAAGGAAAATGTTTACATTTTACATTGCAATTTACTGCCTTTGTCCTAGATGCTATCTGTAATCAGTATGATCAATGAAATTTAAAAGGAACACCTGCATCAGAAGTCGGACTGGAGCTCAGTCTATTTTCTAGTCCCTTCCATGTAATATTGAAATAGTCATGTATCAATTTTGAAATAAACTAAAAAATATCTGTACATTAGTTTTGGTGTTTGGCTGAACAGAAATGGTAAGGTGATTTTGAAAGAAAAACCCATTCTTCTCAAATTCCAGGTATAGTAGAACCAAATACTCTTCATGGATGGAAAGGCCTTCAAATGCTTTACCAAATTATAAATTTGGAGAGCAGGTAGTTTCTTTAAAAAATAGTTCAAACTGGGTTAGAATTATTAGTATGAGATGACAGTTGGACGAGATGCACATATTGACTCCAGGATCTGATTAATGGGACCAAAAGCGGGTCAAATAGACTGAAATTTCAAAGACCTTCTTCTTAACCAGATATGGTAAAATCTGTTGAATATTGTTCATGGATGGAAGAGTTAATAATGGGATATTGCACATTTTTGAGTGAAGTGTAATTTCTTGCAATTCAAACTTGGTAAGAAGCCTTAGCTTGGGATAGCAGTTAACGTTATACACAGTTTGCATGATGTGTACAATGTAGTTGAAGTTATCTTACTTTTTTGACCAAAATTTTTATGACATATTACAAGAAACATTGTGAATCAGGTGACCTTTAAGGCCCTTGGGCCTCTTGTCTATATATAGTAATGATGACCATAAACTTGAATCAATATGGTTGACCTTTGTATAAGGTTCAGACAAATTCCATCGGAGAAATGATGTTACGATTCTTTCATGTGAATAGTAAAATGAAACACGAACCAACTTGCCAAGTCAAATGAGATGTGTGTTGACTTGTGAAATATCTGAATACATAAGCATCATCTTTTGAAGGATTTGATTATCAGTAAGTTATGTTTCCTTGGTTGCTGAACAAGTCTAGTTCCAAGTCATGCGTGATGCATATCCAAAATCAAGTTACATTGTTGTAATCTTGACTACAAGGAAAGTGGCTTTAAATCTCGATTCCATTACCTACCAATATCTAGATGTATGTACCCATCCAGGCAGACATTGTGAAGGTAACAACATTGCTGTTAGAGCTTAAATCTAAGTATTGAAAAGTCATCCTATGTCATTTATAGTCGATATAAAATGCAGAGCTTTGCAAACATACACATACATCAAATTGTGCACCAGCACAAAATAGTATTATCTTGTCCAACTTTATCATTTGTAATGATCGGACAGGACAGTTAATGTTCCCAGAGCATGTGTCTGCTTTGTCAATAAGAACTTTATTTAAACTAAAATACATTGTAGATTATTCAGCCATTTCCATTGTGCTCGGGGATTGGATAGAGAGTATCGTACCTAAAATCATTGTGACATTGTCATGCATGGTATGGCATATATATTATGACATTGATTATGATTGTTATGATAATATGACAATAGCTCGATTCTCCTATCCATAAAGTAACAATGTTAAAAGGAAAGCATGCATATGTACAGCTTGTTGACTTCCTTTTAAAGGAGTGATTGGAATAAGTATATTCATGTCAAAAACAAGATCTGGTATATGTGTCACCTCGGACTATCCATGGTTTTACTTTTGTCATGGTTGCTAAAACCGCGCATAGATAGTCAAAATTATAGTGATTGCAGGTGCATATCTGAAGCACGGCTGAGGTATGTCGCAATATTCATATCAGGGATTATTGATAACAGTCAACTCACAAATGACACAGAAATGTAAAATATTTCTTCAGCAACTTGCTTACAGAAAAGAATTTGGACAAGATAAAAGAAAAAACAAATTAAATTTAAAAATGAATACACCATGGTGTCGAGAAAGGCGACCTAAATTACTGCATGGAATTGCACAAGAAACTTCGAAATGTTCAATGATGTCAACTGAATATCAATTATCAAAAAGGAAAACGGGACAAAAAACCCATAATTACAATTTGATCAACAGACTATCTCCTACAGTGCCGTCAAGACAGATATCTTAAGGGCATGGAAATCCTGGAAAATTTCCAGCAAAGAGCTGTCCCTATATATAGCCAATATAGAGAATACATGCAAATCCTTGGACAAGGAATAGCACAAAAAAATGTTGTCATCAGCTTAATTTAACAGCGAAGTGTTCTTTTTACATTGTACTCTAACTTCAATATTAATTTAAAGAAACATTACAGCTGAAATGTAACAAAATATTCATGTGTACTATGAAAATAGAGATTCAGTTGGTATAGGTCTCTAAACATCACGTGTCGATAATAATTAAGCCCACCTGTTTGTACATTATAGTTGTGAGAACTTTATTTGAAATCCAAGAGGGTATGGCTACCGTGAAGCAATGTTTCTTTTCATAACAACCCCACATGTAGCCTTAACTTGTTACCAACTTTTAGCCAATGGCCCCAGAGGTAAATAAGTTAACAATCTGGTTGACAGTCGACAATGCCATGTACTGAAATATTAGTGCCTAGTGTTTATTAGTGGATTTTGACAGATATTCCGTCTCCTCGACTCCACCGTGCTGTGCTCGAGTATCGTCTCACTGACGAATGTCAGTATTCTGGCGACGTGAGGGGCGACATGCATCAGCCCTCAGTGGGGTGGAGCCGTCTGTAGCGGTGATCGTTTGGTTGTACTTGTATAATAGCTATACGTCAAGCTAACTAGACTTTTAAACCAACTACAAACGAGAGTCGTAGTTACGTATAATCGATATGATATTTTACCTGCATTAGGCTAAAAATGACACTATAGATCTTGATATCAAATATTCAAATAAATGCATTTAGATGAATAGCATTTCCGGCTATAAGCAGTGAAAATACGTAAATATTTTATACGAAACTAAATCATTTCATATTTACATTTTCTTACTTCCTGTTGTCAGAAAGGCATAGAGTCGCAGTGTTAAGTGACATTATACATGACATCCGTAGTGTAAAAAATGCCGAGATCAAGCAGAAGTCGAGAGTCTGGATCTCGACGGAGCAGATCGTCAAGCGGTCGTTCTCGTGGCCGCCATAGACATGATAGGGAGCACCATCATCATCGACATGGTCACCACTCAATTAATTCTCATCTTCGCCAGCTTTACAGGTTTCGACAGAAACAGAAAGAGAAAAACTTCAAAGCGGCATCCTGTAGTATGATTGCGATTGTCGTGCTATGCACTGCATTGTCAGAACCTCGATGGGTATCACTTAGAGGAGGAGGCTGTACCATAGGAAGCCTACAGTCGACAGTGTCGACTCCTCTCGACCATCTTGGCGCTTACCAGTTTTTCTACCCAGGGAGCTTTTATGCTGAAAATGAAAATGAAGTATCACTTTATCATTTTGGACCATCTTCAGATGATTGTAGGTTTATCTATACGTCATTTGTCCAACTTATCAAACCACTTACTAAGTGTAGACATTTATTCACTTTTTTCAAAACAAGTACATATTTCTATTCAGAATGAATTACCTTAATTAATTCTTCTCATCGAAAAATATAAGAATAACAGAAGACGTATGTATGAGATAGAAATTTAGAAAGTAAACTTAAATAAAAGTTGGTTTTAATTACTAGTGTAATAGGAAGGAGGAATGAAAAACATCCTGCCATGGCGAGGTTCGAACTAGCTGCACTTCAGTCTCTAGCTTGACACTCTTCTGCTTAACTAAAGGGAAATTCTCATTAGCTGATGTTAGTAAGGTGACCACTACCTTAACTTCTGCACTAGTACAAGTGAAGACTTAAACTTTGTATAATTTGAATATTGTATTAGATCTCTTGTACAGTTTGATCGGGTGATTCTTGTGTAGATAATAATTAAGCCCACCTGTTTGTACATTATAGCTGTGTGAACTTTATTTGAAATCCAAGAGGGTATGGCTACCGTGAAGCAATGTTTCTTTTCATAACAACCCCACATGTAGCCTTGACTTGTTATCAACTTTTAGCCAATGGCCCCAGATGTAAACAAGTTAAGATACTTAACCACCAATCTGGTTTATAGCCAACAAAGCCCCGTACTGAAATATTAGTACCTAGTGTTTATTAGTGGTTGTTGACAAGTATTCCGTCTGCATTACTCAGATGACCACAGACGTTTTCAAATCTGATAGGGGAATCACATTGCCCTGGTACAATTATACATGATAAATATAGGATTTTCATGAAAATACAATGATATCCAGATGCTAATTTGCCTTTTTCCTGTTTTGTAGATATGCATAACTGCGTTACCTACAAGGCTGTCGTCCTGATGAAGGTCATCATTACCTTCACATTTATTGCCATGGTCTGTTCTCTTGGAGGCTTTCTATTGGACCTGATTGGTCCCTCTCGGAGAGTTCTTAAAATTCTAAGGAGAAATGCTATATTGAATATCATTGCTGGTAAATTTGTTTGTTTTACTTTTTTTGACATATTTGAAAGGAATTGTATTTCATTATGTAGTTTCTATTGTTTGTTAACATAATGAGTATGATATAATCTTTGTTAAGCCAAGTATAATATTCTCTTTGTTAAGCCCAGTATAATATGATATTTTTTAAGCCCAGTATGATATGATCTCTATTAAATATGATATTATATTTGTTAAGCCCAGTATAATATTATCTTTGTTAAGCCCATTATGATATGGTCTTTATTAAGCCCAGTTAATATCTTTGTTAAGCCCAGTCATGGGTTTGCATGCTTTTCGGATTTTCCCTGGCCCAAGTATATTTGAAAATAGGGTCAGAAGTTTGTGAGATACTTATCATTTTCTTAAGTATCGAGAGATTTCTATAACATTTCATTTGAATATTAGTATTGACAATACTATTGACAGAAGTGTTGACCAATTGTCCCCGTTTGAGATTCAGTACTGCAAGGGATATTACTGCAGATAGCTATGTATTTTCATTCATGACATTCAGAAATGCACTTTTCTGACAGTAAAATTCCACAGTATTTCAAGTCACTCTGAAAACAAATTTTGAGAGGCTCAGTAATCTGACGTTATGAAATGGGACAAAATAGGGAAACAGTTCTATCATAATTTTGTAGATATACAGTGTAAATAAAATGTGTTTCTTTTTTTTTTCAGTGATAATGTGCGTCATTATTAACATGTTCTGTTACTGGTTGACGGCAGAGGTGCAGGCCCTTCAAAAGCATACTAAGGTACACATCGGCAGTAAAGTAAATGTTAACTTTGATATCAGCTTTTTCCTCGTGGCTGCAGCAGGAGCAGTGGGTGTTCTAGCCACAGCCTTGAACTGTCTTCGTCGCTATCCAGCCTATGATGACAGCCCGTCTGAAGCCTTATTGGATGATTTTGATGGAATGGAAGGCCTCCTGGCTCCAGAACCAGATGCTTCTCCCATGGCTAATATTCCTCCACCACCAGCCTACACCCCATAATATATACCAGGAATGAGCTGCTGTGCCTGTTTTACACACACTGTGTTATAGTCATTGTACATTGTTGATTGACATTATACACTTAACACTCATATCCAAAGATTAAGACCAGATTCAGAAAAGTAATCACACGGAATCAGAGGTTAGAACATTGTAACAAATTAAAGAAGCTTTAGTCTGAGATTATTTCTTTCTTTAATGCAATATTTGAATTACAGTTTTCAACAACCACCATTGTTATTGCAGGACCAGATTATAAATAGTAAAAATTTAGATGCTACCTTTGATAAGTAGAAGTTGTGCTGTGAATGGAGTAAGGCACTGTCTTTTCTGAATTGTGACTTTTTTGCTGAAAAAATTCAATTTAAGAAATTTAGAATGTGCAAAATTTGTTAAACTGACATGGGCTAAATTCCAAGCATGGCACATAAAAAAAGGATGTTTGTTTTTACTGTGTGTACAGTTTGTTTTCTGAATGATTGATATATTCACACATGCTGCCATCATACTTAACCAGTTCATAGGTGACATCTCATACATTTCATTACATTTGAAAAGAAAATTAATAGATATATACAATCATGTTTTGAAAATTCATAAAAGTATTTTAAGTGAAAAAAAATATTGATAAAAGAGTTGTGATTAAAGTTTATAAAATGATTTTTGCATTATGTAAGGCTGGGATGTATCCTATACTCCAGGGGCTACAATCACGTTCGCTGTCTGCAGAGATCATTAGTGATCATAACCCCTGAAATTTTCTGGATAGTTAAAAAAGATATTTTAAGTTTTGCTTGAAACATTAGAGTTTTACTTTTTTTTCCCAGAAAATTCATTTTTCAGCATGTATTTATATTCAGCAAAAATTTGCAATTTGATTGTTACTGTATGAAGTTATCTTTAGCCTACCATCATAAGATGGTTGGCTGTTCAAATTGTCCTTTGTTAATGGTCTGACTGATCCTTCATGTTATCATTCTTTCTTGAGAAGTTCTAGATCGTTCCAGATCATTTCCTTTGGTCTCTAGTTGTGCATCCTCTTATTTTTGGACTGATCTGGAAAACAAAATGACCGATGGGTGGCCATTGTGGATTTTGCCTATTGAAATTTGTAATCTTTGTTTCTTAAGAAGTACTGGATGGATTTTATTCACCTTGGTTCCTAGTTGTTCCCTTTTGATTTAGGGACTGATTAAAAAATAAACACCATGGGTAATAGATGACCATATTGGATTTGACAGTGAAAAGTTTGTTATTGCTATTTCATGAGAAATACTGGAGGCTTCTTTTTCAAGTTGTATATGTAGGTTCACGATGGTCCTTTGTTTTGCCCTTTTTAATTTGAACACTGACCAGAAAACCAAAGTGGTCAATAGGCCACTTTCTTAAATTAAGAGTTATTATCATTAAGAGGAATTTTCAAATTTCATATGAGTAAGAGCTAGAATGGAGGAAAAAATAGAAAAGAAGGGGAAAGATCCAATGTTTCAAGAACAAAGACCAAACAATGGTTGGTGCCAAGATGCTTCGCGGATCTTATGTGTATTAATGTGTTTTGATATTGCAGTGTTTGAAATTGATGCTTTATACCAACATGATTAGGTTTGATGTGGATATTCTTTATTGTTAGATATAAACAAGTAATCATATGCATAACTCAGATTAAAGTATAGGTGTTAACTATCCAACATTAGCCTTAAGTCATGCAATTGAAGGGGCCTTGATTCCTAGGTTTGAAGGGACAACACCTCTCACCTCCTACCCAGCCCCCTCAATTTTGTAATTGGAGAAGATTTCATTTGACTCCTGCTTAAAGTCAAGAGTCAACTGGAAATCCTTGTGCAAAGTGGTTTCTTGAAGGATTCACAATTTTTATAAAGGATAAATATTGAGTCATGCTATGTTTATGACAAATACTTATGCAATATGTATTTTCCTGTTTTTCCATGATAATTTTTTGTTGGAGTGTGTCGTGTACATAAATTTATTCATTGTGAGTTTAAAACATTCAATGTCAGGAATGAATATTTATGAAAACATATATACATACTCAATGTTGTGAGTATAAAATTGTATATACATGTATATACTGGTCATTGACCTACACTCGCCAAATACAAATTCTCGTGAGTGCTCAGAGAAATACTGGCGTGTATATATTTATCTGCACATAAGTTGTCTTTTTGTCCAGGAATTTTCTTATCAACAAAATGCATGAAATGGCAACCTTTGGTGAGAATTGGTACTTGGCAAGAATATGTCAGCAACCAGTATATACCGAAATATATACAATATTTAGTTTTTTATGAAGAAGTCCAAGGTTTGGGTGAAACTAATAGTCGTTTCCTTTTGAAGAAAATTAATCTTGTCCCAAGCTTATTGTGATGACTCCTACTTTCGACTTTTCCCAATTATTCAAATGCCCTGCATAGGTATCTGGTCAAGGAATATGTAGAACCAACAAAACCTTGAATCAATAGTGTTTGTTGTCACCCTGAATCAGTACTGTAGCATTCCCATGGTAACATGCAGCAAGTAACAGCCAATGTTTAGTTGCTGGGACATGTGTAATGGTCCTGGCAGTGTCGTCCTGTGGTAGACCCTATAAATAAAGACTATGTAGTTTACTGGTAATCAAAGGAAAATTGATAGTTGTTGTACAATTTTAGCAGTCTTTTGTGTTATATAGATACTAGATTCTGTAAGGTACAACTTCAGATACATGTATGACTCTTGTTTTAGTATTGAATTGTTTTCTGATTGTACACCATTTTGCTTTGCTGCTGATATATGTGTTGTTGTTATAGTATTAGTATAATTATGTGTCATTGTCATGGTCATAGCATAATTATGTCGTTGTCATGGTTATTGTATAATATTGATATTTCTGTTACAGCAATGAAATTGCTTCTATTGTTGGTATGTAAATATTTCTTTAATGACACATGTATAAAAGAATGAAAAGAATGTTTTGTTTGTGTTTTGTGATAACATGTTTGGTCTTATGAAGACTTTATCACAGTTCTAACCTCAGTGTACTTTCCTGCATGGTTTTGGTTTCAGACACAAAAGTTTTGTGTCTCTAATTATATGCAGTCAACTACCATCACCACCACAAGATTTGGAGGAAAACAAGCATTGGCCAGTTTAGCACAACCCGTTTTGTTGAGTGACAGACATTCTGGAAATAGAGCTGATAGGACTGCTTTGTCCTTCAACAATTCTGATAAAATGGAAAAGTAGGAGGAACAAAGTCAAACCATTGTGGCCTGGTTATTATGTAAAAGATTAATATAAAAGCAATGGCGGTATGTTGGGCACGAAACTGTCAAGAATTTGTAGGCCTCTTAGTTTCAATTAACAAGTTTAAAAGAGTAACATTACATAAGAATACATGTATTGTGTCGCCCTGTTCTGTTTGCTGCTGCATACAACTGACTGGTTAGGGAGAACATTCCAGCTCAGAGTGCTTAAACTTCAAAGTCAATTTCCTCTTACCAACCATGCCCTTCTGATAATTGTTTGGGATGATGACTGACACCATGATATATCACAGTGTGTGACATGTAAAGTCCATTAAATGATCTCCAATACCGGCAATGATATCCGAGGGAGATAACTCCATATAACAACACTGTCTTAACTGCTGGAAGTTGTCTTCCTTATGCCAGAGTTTGTGATGAAGGCAAGACTAAGTAGGTACACTACATTTAGCCTTAGGGATGTGATCCAACTAAAAACACTTTTCAAAGCCTTGTAAAATTAAATTTGGATTCCAGGTCAACATCAGCATTAATGTTTTATAAAAACTTAATTTTCCAAATATTGTCCAGCCTTGGTGAAATTAAACTGCCAAAAGCTCAAATGGGGCAGCCACATTTCATCAGAAACAATGAGCAACCCTTTAATGGTTCATTTAAATTGTGTTGGTAGAACAGAAGCTTAAAAGTTCAAAAAAATTTTATTTTTGTCATCACGACTGATAAAGACATCCGACTCGCCCAGAAAATACCACATGGTTTGGCCTTATACTAAACGTTGCATAAACTTTCATTTAAACAAGTGAGATCTCTGTAGGTTAACAAGCCTTCCATCTGCAAAACTATACAGAGTTACTGTTGTCTGGACTGCCCATATCAAAACATGAATGGCAGTTCAAAATTGAAAATCACATCACACTGAATAACAATGTTGTTTATACAGAAAACAACAAATGAAAATTCCTTCACACAATTTTTATTTGATTTATGTTCCTTAAAAATAATATTTCAATGTGTATAATTTGCATTCAAAATGAAATATGAAAACAAAATCAACATATACAATAACTGAAAACATTTGAACCATTATCAGAGGTTCAATCTGACCATATAACTGGTGACAATATTTGCGGGTACAAAGATGTTAAGTGAATGTTTGATATCTTGTTAGCTCTCATATCTCGCTGAAATCCAGTACCAAGAGGCCCATATGGCCTGTATTGCTCACCTGGTTTTTTTTTGACTGAAACTGCTTTATCCAAAGCAAAGGATTCTAAAGATTTATTTTTATTTTCCTATTACTCTCTCCAAGGTGGGTGGGTGTCTGCCAAATGGCACAAAATCCTGTCATTCCTTCAAAAGATGGATTTTAAGGAAGGTGCTAAATTTCCCAACTTGGCCTAGACCTGGCCCCTGGCAGGCAAGCATCCTTCATTTATATACAATTAGTTCCTCTTGCCCTAAGAGTGCTTCTACAAAATATGGACAAAATCCTGCCATTCAGAAGATAAAGTAGACAAACTAATGCCAGGTGCTAAGCAAAGCAGCTCATTGGTCCTTCAGACCAGGAGAGCTAAATCACCTCCTCTTCATGGCAGTATATATATTGTAAATCAGACAAACTTTGTATGAAATAATTTTGGCAAATCTGATCCAATTATTATATTTTCTTGCAATGTAAATCTACATGTATCAGTTATTCTTATGCTTGATTTTTTTTTAATTCAGTCTGCCCATTAAATAAAGTGAAGGTCATATTTTGAAATTAAGTATGTACTTAAAATGTGTCCATGCGCCCATCCCCTCTCTAACTTGCCGGTATTGCCGTCATTACGATCACACGTCGTACTGATATGTGTAGGATCAAAACTGATTTCAAAGAAATCAAGGTGTTGGTTAGCACAAATCAAGAACATTGAAGTCTAATCAAGAATATTAACTTGTACATGGTAATTCAAACTATTTTTTGAAGACATGTATCTGAAAGTGGTTGAATAAAAATCTTACAGTAATGTAAGAATTTTTATAACAAACTGGATAATGATTGCCCTTTGAAACGGACATTAAAATGAATATATTTCAACTATGTTTCATTAGAGAAATATTTCTCTATAAACAGGCTTCTGTAATATAGAGATTTTGAAATGAGTAGTTATGAAGATTAACCCCTGTGAACAGTTGTACTTGAAGTTTAACAATGAGAGCACGATACCATAAAAATGGAAGAAATTATAAAAACAGCACAAACCATGAGTCATAAGAACAGACAGAATTACTTACGAACCCTGTATTGTAAATAAATATTAGATAGAGACATTAAAATGCAATAATTTGTTAAATATAGGATTTTATGAGAATAAAAAATGTTTTCTTGCTTTGCACCTTTGGAAATGTGAATTTTCTGACAAGTTTCATATTTCCCATTATTTGGTAATAAAAAGTCAAAGCACCACTGACTATGTTTATTGACCCAGTTAATCACAGCTCTGCTAGCTTTTGTGTAATGACTCATCCAATCAAAGCTCCACAAGGTACTGTTAAATGATCCAGCCAATCAAATCCCTGCTAGCTTTTATTTAACGACACTGTCAATCACAGCCCCACTAGCTGTTGTTTAATGACCCAGTCAATCACACCTCCACTAGCTGTTGTTTAATGACCCAGTCAATCACACCTCCACTAGCTGTTGTTTAATGACCCAGTCAATCACAGCTCCACTAGCTGTTGTTTAATGACCCAGTCAATCACAGCTCCACTAGCTGTTGTTTAATGACCCAGTCAATCACAGCTCCTCTAGCTGTTGTTTAATGACCCAGCCAATCACAGCTCTGCTAGCTGTTGTTTAATGACCCAGTCAAACACAGTGTCACAAGCTGTTGTTTAATGACCCAGTCAATCACAGCTCCTCTAGCTGTTGTTTAATGACCCAGTCAATCACAGCTCCACTAACTGTTGTTTAATGACCCAGTCAATCACAGCTCCTCTAGCTGTTGTTTAATGACCCAGTCAAACACAGTGTCACAAGCTGTTGTTTAATGACCCTGTCAATCACAGCTCCACTAGCTGTTGTTTAATGACCCAGTCAAACACAGTGTCACAAGCTGTTGTTTAATGACCCTGTCAATCACAGTTCCACTAACTGTTGTTTAATGACCCAGTCAAACACAGTGCCACAAGCTGCTGTTTAATGACCCAGTCAATCACAGTGCCACAAGCTGTTGTTTAACGACCCAGTCAATCACAGTTCCACTAGCTGTTGTTTAATGACCCAGTCAATCACAGTGCCACAAGCTGTTGTTCAATGACCCTATCAATCACAGCTCCACTAACTGTTGTTTAATGACCCTATCAATCACAGCTCCACTAACTGTTGTTTAATGACCCTATCAATCACAGCTCCACTAACTGTTGTTTAATGACCCAGTCAATCACAATGCCACAAGCTGTTGTTTAATGACCCAGTCAATCACAGTGCCACAAGCTGTTGTTCAATGACCCTATCAATCACAGCTCCACTAACTGTTGTTTAATGACCCACTCAAACAGTAATCAGTAAATTCCTTTTTTCTGATTGCCCGCAAATGTCACATAATTACACTGATGAGTTTCCCTATAACATGACCTGGATGGTGAAGTTTTCACTTTTGAGAAAGTTGAAAAGTCACTTTTAAGGAGGATGTCACAATCATGCTATTACATGTGACGTTATTCATGACAGAGGCATATCATATGGCAGGACAGAATTATAAGTGTTGAGAAGTCTACTGAACAGGTAACACTGAGGTGCCTATGCATGTTTTATATATGTCTTTACATTGCATATCTTCATAGGCAGGAAAGAAAGTGCTAACAATGTCCCTTTGATAAAGAATGGCACTGATCATTATTTATGACCTTTTGTCTCTTGGTAAATAAGAGGAAGTTATTTTGTGGCTTCAAACATGTCAAATATACTTATAGGTTGCAATGTCACTATGTAAAACATAGTGGAAAATTCTATTCCAGGTTATGAGATTTTGGACTGGATTTAGAAATATTGCTTGATCAGAGTACTTCTGTAAAACATTTGCATTTTTACATTATTTTTGTAATTCAATCTCATCTTTAATGAATATTTTCAAAACAAAAGGACATCATCAAATTTCTTTTCAAATTTACAATGATTTTTCAAAATTATATCCTGCATTATTTTGTTGAAAAGTCAATGGCAAAGTACATGGCTGTTTTGGTTGCTCTAACAATGAGCTTTCTAGGCAAACAATTAAATTTTGTTGTTAAGTAGAAAATATTTATCCTTGGAATCATTCAAAGCATAAATATATTAAGAGGTATTTTTTCTGATTTATGGTCCTGAGAGTTGGTACAGGATTGAAGAAAAAAGACCATATATCACGTTATTTCATTGTTCGTAATTCTGTACTGACTTCACCAATCAAGTAATTATTTCATGCTAAATGAGTCCTGTGATCTCAAAAGTAAATCAAGGTCATTTACATGAAGAAATAAGATTGCTCTTCATGCCAGGATGCAACTGACTGAATATAGTAACCATCAGTTTTTTTTGTAACTCAGAAATTGTCTTAAGACTTCAACATATTGAACCTTTGTGACCTGGAAAGGTCAAAGTAGGTAAAAGTTAGTCTTTCAATAATTTGACAGCCCTTCAGAATACTGCTGATCCAATATCATGATTCACAGGTCATTAGATTACTTTTACACATCTGACTCTGGTGAACTTGAAAATCGGTCAATGTCATTTACCGGAGCAAAATTCATAGCCCTTCATCCTGCCACGCTTCTGGCAAAATATCTGGACTTTTGTCATTATATTTAATAAGAAGAATAAGTTTAAAGTTGATACCAACTGGACATAAAACACTGAACCACAGGATAAGCTCATTAGCCTGGAATTCTAGTAGGTGAACTAAAACATCACATGTCCTTTACTGTGTACATATAATTCCACCTACAGTACACATACATACTTTAGTAGTAATTTTGTTTCAGCGCTTGTTCCCAATGATATTTCACAAATATGTCATTGATCTAATGGCATTTTCCATATGTTGTTAATATTACAATCATTGTGAATGTATGAATTCCTCATTGCAAATTGCAGTACAAATTGGATACTGTGATAAAATAGAGTGGGCTGAAATAAAAAAAAAAATGCTATTTTACCTTCCCACATTTTTCTAATGCTCAAGACCAAATTAATTTCATTCATACATACAACAAAAAAATCTTTTCAGCCATTCTGGAGGACAAGCCTTGTAATACAAAAACAAATTGACAACAGACGCTGTACCATAACAAAATTAACCTCATACGATTGGCTTAAAAATCCCAACAAAGAAATACACAAAACTTAATCACTGTTTTGAATACATAACTGTATACATATGTAGTAAGATATTACTGTTCATAATGCTGGCTATTCCACAGCAAGCAAACTATTGTCCTTAAGAGTATTTTTGGTTTATTGACTCGCCTTGTAGTTTCATTAGGAACAGGCCCAGTGGACCTGTACAGGTCTGATCTTATACTTATTATAATGTTAAGTTAACAAACTCATACATAGTAAGTATAATAACAGAGCATTCATATTGTAACATCTGCCTGAAGGCGAACACATTTCTTTATACAGTAATGTTCATGTGCATGTCTGCGTGCACAAAGCATAGAATACAAAGTGCCATCAAAATACACCAGTATGTACCATTAAAATACATGGAATATGTATCAACACTTGATCAGGACTTATCTTCAAGATACAGACTTGTTATTGATCATTGGACCTGTAATATCATAGATGGATTATTGACATAGCTAAATCTGTTCAGTGTTGCCTAATGGCATCTCAATATGTTCTAATAATACTTCACCTGATTATACAGACTAAGATGGTCATACACAACTTCAATACAATTCCCTGTCATTATGAATGATCCACTTCTACCAAGCATGGTTGTAGTTGGCAGGAAGGAACATTAGAATTGGAAAATATCTCAGCCAATGAGAAGCCAAATTGGCAGACATCCTGGGTTTCCTATCCGTCTAGTCAGTAACATGACTTAGGGTCATGAGTGAACAAATAATTCTAGATTTTGATAAAAGCAAATGAGTAGAACTGAGAACAAAAAATAGTCAACATTTATGATAGATCTGTAGTAAAATTTAGATACAATCAGCGATGAAAAAATTACAAAGTAGAAATATTTTTTACATCAGAGTCAATCTGAGATTGGGGTCACTTAAAATTACAAACAGGTCTATATAACCGATAGCATCACCACAGGAGAAAATATATGGCAGGTCACGACTTAGTTGAAAATGTTAAAAGAATATAGATGATAGATGAGGGATGAGAATTGGCTTAGATTATAAGCTCAATCAACATACTTCTTGATGTACTCTCTACAAACATAACATGTTATCTCTGTATCTACCCAGCATTTTACAGGGTTAGTCCTCTATATCAGCAGTTGGTTTGTCTTACTTACTCATGGCAAAGACCATGTCAATCTGCTGAGAAGGAGGTGGACCTTGTACTCAAACTTGTAACTGATATACTGGTCCAGTAAGGTAATTGACAAAATGGTGTGACTTTAATCCTTTAACCCAGATACTACAGTGTACATTTAAATGAAATCAGTTAAGGGGATCACAAGAAATCTTATACAAAATTATTTTTCAAATTCTAAAAATGGTCAAGAGTGACTTTTTACCTTTTAACTTTGATTTATTACAAAACTGACAAAACACAATACCTGTTTTTATATGAAAATCCTGAATTTCTCTCATAAGCAGTAAATGAAATGATCTGCATTGAAACTTTGGTCAGAGAACTGAATAACGAAGACACCATTATCAATAGAAATTGCACTCTAATTCCATTATCTAAATCACATCTTGAGTAAAAGTGACTTCAACCACAACTTTTACCTTTACATCTTAAACCCAATCAAACAGCAAACATAGTAGGACAGTGTTTTCTTCAGGTAAATAAAAATTAAAGAGAAATGCCCTTTGTTTTCTTTCCTTTCATAATACACTTCATAAGTCATTGAAGCTGAGGAATCCTTGAGACAATAGCAAATCATAGCACTATGAATGCCACTGAAATTGATGCTACCATTATTATGATGTCAAAATCTGAACATGATACATACAACTGAATACATTACACAAATGATCCAATCATTGAAAAAAAAAATCTTTATTTATGATGGCTGACTTTTGATGATATCTGTCTGTTATTGTGTAATTTGAAAATGACTGAAGATGGTATTGAATTTTAGAATATTAAATGGTCACAACAGAACTGGAAAATACTTACATCAATAAATGTGTGCAAGGCATTTATTTCATCATGAATACTGAACATCTATTGAAAGCCATTAAAAACTGAACATTCAAAACAATTATCTCTGTTTTAACGTAATCAACACATCACTAATTGTTTAATTTTTATAAACAATTTACACATAAATATCATTGGTTATTCCTACACAGTATTACTGTAGTTATCTGATAATAAGCCCTGGTAATGAACCATGTGATATCTATTGCTATTTGGTAGAATTACAAGCTATTTCATAAGTCCTATCCATACCTTGAATCAAAGGTCAACTGTAAGCCATTGGGCTATTACCAGATACATAATATACAGCCGTCTTAAACAACATGTCCCCATACTGCAGGTACAGACTAACAGAATCTTTCAGACTCCCTGGAGGAGGAGGTGTAAGATAGGGAATCTCATTCCAAGGGGAAAGATGATTAAGTCAGCCAACATAAAGCTTCCCCTCGAGGGTTTGTAACTTAAACATCGTTTCATTTCCATTTAGATCCCCAATCTCACCAAAAAGAGGGTAAATGATTATTTTTCTGTTCATCCTAGAGTGAGTCAAGGAAATCTCACACAGGAAAAAGCATCTTACCCTGTCCAGGGTAACATGGCAATCACTCACTGTCACTAATTCTTCTGTTTCATAAGTATTCTCATAGAAATTCTCACTAACTATGACTAACATTTTGGTTTGAGTATTGCCAAATCATCTGAGTCAGCAATAGCTAGCGCGCATCCATGATTGTTAACATGAGTCCAATGATCATGAGTCCATTGTGGTTAATCTGTGTCAATATCCAACTTTGACGACCTTGACCTTACATCTGTGTTTCATTTGGAAAGTCCATGATGATACGGTTGGCCTGTCGTTGGTACTGCTGTTGTTTGTAATATATCTTAAGAGCACCTTTGATGGTAATGAATGCGATCCCTCCCTGAAACACACACAAAGCCACTTATAACATATGGACAATGTTATTCTCTAATAAGCTATACTTCAATGTTATTTTCTAATGAAGATACATATTGCCAAGAAAAAACAAAACCTTCCATTTAAGTGAAGATATTGGCAACATTCAAAGTCTATCCCATGATCTGGTGAATAAAGATTCAGATGTCATACAGTCGTCGATACGACAAGTGTTTAATATACACAGCATTGTATTGCTGCAATATTACTTTAAACCATGCTGTTTATAACAACAGAAGAAATAGAATAGAATCAGATATATATCTCCTTGACACGTTAAGATATTCATATGGTTCATGTACCTGATGTATTGTAGCAGTGGATGTGTGGGAGTTACCTCCCTTACAACCAGTTTATTTAAATGCCTGATTAAAATAGAATGAAGGCTAACAAACAAACCTGTTTCTTTATTGAAATAAGTGAGATGATTGTTACTTGATAAAATAGAAGAGTTACTTGGTTTCCACACTTCCATTTAACCGAGATAGAAATTCTGGTTGATGAACACCAACCAATATTACAGACTATAACTGTAGCACTACAGAATATAAAACATACCAACAATGTTCTTTGGAAGTTTGATTGGACCGACCCAAACATGAGTTTCCCTACAATCGTGGCAATGGTTGGCAGGATGAGGGCCCCGCAGAGAACACGTGTGGCACACAGTGGGTCTGACAGTGGGGCAGTCTCAGCAGGGATCCGAGTGTTCTTTGAGCATTCTGTAAATTTAAAAGTATCAACGCTTATAACCAAGTCAGTAAAAACCCTCCATATACATAGTGACAACTTCTATTGGTATATATGTTATAAAATATCATCTGATAGACATGTCAGTATGACAACACTATATATCAGTCCAACACAGTGTCACCAGATCTAGTACATAGCTGTTGATGTGTGACTATAGAACTGGTCACACACAGTGTCACCAGATCTAGTACATAGCTGTTGATGTGTGACTATAGAACTGGTCACACACAGTGTCACCAGATCTAGTACATAGCTGTTGATGTGTGACTATAGAACTGGTCACACACAGTGTCACCAGATCTAGTACATAGCTGTTGATGTGTGACTATAGAACTGGTCACACACAGTGTCACCAGATCTAGTACATAGCTGTTGATGTGTGACTATAGAACTGGTCACACACTGTGTCACCAGATCTAGTACATAGCTGTTGATGTGTGACTATAGAACTGGTCACACACAGTGTCACCAGATCTAGTACATAGCTGTTGATGTGTGACTATAGAACTGGTCACACACAGTGTCACCAGATCTAGTACACACACACACACAGTGTCACCAGATCTAGTACATAGCTGTTGATGTGTGACTATAGAACTGGTCACACACTGTGTCACCAGATCTAGTACATAGCTGTTGATGTGTGACTATAGAACTGGTCACACACAGTGTCACCAGATCTAGTACATAGGTGTTGATGTGTGACTAAAGAACTGGTCACACACAGTGTAACTAGATCTAGTACATAGCTGTTGATGTGTGACTATAGAACTGGTCACACACAGTGTCACCAGATCTAGTACATAGCTGTTGATGTGTGACTAGAGAACTGGTCACACACAGTGTCACCAGATCTAGTACATAGCTGTTGATGTGTGACTATAGAACTGGTCACACACTGTGTCACCAGATCTAGTACATAGCTGTTGATGTGTGACTAGAGAACTGGTCACACACAGTGTAACCAGATCTAGTACATAGCTGTTGATGTGTGACTAGAGAACTGGTCACACACAGTGTCACCAGATCTAGTACATAGCTGTTGATGTGTGACTAAAGAACTGGTCACACACAGTGTCACCAGATCTAGTACATAGCTGTTGATGTGTGACTAGAGAACTGGTCACACACAGTGTCACCAGATCTAGTACATAGCTGTTGATGTGTGACTAGAGAACTGGTCACACACAGTGTAACTAGATCTAGAACATCAAACGTGACTTATAGTACAGTATCTCTTTGGCTGCTTGAGTTAATTCAATAGATTTGATATTGGCCCTGAATTTTTATCAACTTCTAAGCTGACTTAGTAGAGTGAATAAAATATAAAATAAAATAAATAACCGATTTGTATTTAAGAAAAAAAAAAAACCCACTGATATTCAGGCTGGATAATTTTTATTTCTATAGCATTAAAACCAGAATTTCTTTGAAAACTAGAAAAGTCTGTAAGACATGATGGCCCTGCTCTGGTACCTATAAGTAGTATTGTTCAACGGATTTGGGGAAGTTGTCAGTAACATGTCACCTTTGCCAAAGTTTAATCTCATCAAATAATTATTTGAACACCTGCTCCCCTCCCCTCCTCCTTTCCTATGTAGTTAAATATCAGTGATGAATTAACAGTGATCTTATCCAAACATGGCCATATGAAGCTGGATGTGTTTGATGCTCATTAGTTTGCATGTTGATTTCGTTGTTTTATACTTGTTCTCATTGGAGAATGTGACATTAATTATGTGGATTGACCAAGGTTTACATGGTTGGTGTCATCCATGTAAAGAACATGTTTACTCTTTTCATTCTTTTTTTTTTCAGGTGTCTCTGTGTGAATATTCCTCTTATTCATACCTTCTCTAGTTTTATTGAATCTGAGTTTGGATTATGATTATATTGACTTTTTTGTATTTTCTTGTTGTTTTTGTATCAACTGATATTGACATTGCTGGAAAGTTGACATTGGGCAGGATAATCCCTTCAAAAAAACTTTTCTTAAAAAAATAATATTTTTTCCTTTCATACATATCATACTTTGATTATCTTGGAAGAAAAACAAAGGTTATCTGAAATCAAAATGAGTTGGTAACTCTGGCCTGTTTAAATAATAGGTAACTTAACTTAGCAATTCTGATTTACTAGCTAACATACATACTGGGGTATACTGTACTTCAAGTAAACCAGAAACGTTTTACTTTCAAGTCTATCAAATAAAATTGCCCAAGGAAATTGTTGGGCAGTTTATGGTCCACACAGCCAAACTGCCCAAAGAATCATTTGATTGAATGTAACATAACATGTTCTGTATGTTCTCCAAATCACACAAAACCATGGAAGCTATTGTGCTGGTCAAATATATTTTTGTTTGTGTGTGGTATATGTTGCATGTAGAATGGTCTAATAAGCCTCTGAGGACCAGTACATGGTGTGAATGTGGACAGCATATGGGGAAGACCTTCTCCTTTGTTAACAGCCAGACAGAGGTAGCTGCCAAATTGACCTGTTAAGGGAGGTCCCATAAAAACCTCTCCTATTGCTTTATTGGACTGACGTAACAACAGATATTAACTTTTATACAAGTTATTGACAACATCAAGGCCATAGTTTCTCACTGATAATTTGACCCAAATACCGAACTATGATATACTCAACATGATTTTGATATTTATATCACAAATGATATCTATGGCAAGGAATTCAAGCATCACAGCACTATTCAATAGTTAAACAAGTACTTGCTATACTTCATCTACAACATCTAATTTTTAACGACTCTGACTTCAGTCAAGATAACATTTTCATGTGGTAGATAGCTAACAATGTTTGTATCAAAATTGTAATTGGAAACAGCATCAATAAGAGCTATAAATAACATTAAAATTATGGGAATTATTTAAATTTTGTAATGTATGCATTTGTTTACACTTGGTAGACTTTATAGCATAGTGGAGAATCTTGCTGGCATTAGATACCTGGAGAAATTTGGGGAGCCTTGAAAAAGAATCTGTAAAAAACATATACTTAACATATAGCACATATCTGTGATGTTTGTGTTGTAACCATCTTTACAAATTTTCAACAGGACAGTTCTAACAAGGGCAATAATTCCCATTAAACCTCTTTAATCTACACAAAGCTTTAGTTTCACATTTTTTTATCTTTGATGTGAAGCTGTATTTGCACATTTGCTTAAAAAAAAACAAAAAATAGCAACAAGAAAAAATTCCCAATTTGTATTACACTGTACGATGGTGACGTCATTCACACCAAAGCAATCACACCTACTCATTAAATTTACAATTTAAAAAGTTCAGAATGCACTGAAGTCACCACCAACAGAAAGTCCGAGATTACACCTAGGCTTATAACCCTAAGTAGAAGTTTTAGTCTTGGATATAAAGATGTGATGAATGTATATGCTACCAAAGTTTTTCTTCAACATTCTTTGATTTGTAATAAAAATTAAGTAGAGAATGTGTGAAAGAATATCTGGTTCTAATCACTTACCACACTAACAACAGATAGCAACAATATGTTATCAGCTACATGCATCGGCACCTGTAGCTCTGGTAACAGGGCCTTTTCTCCACTGTGATTAGAGATATCACATAGCATAATGATGGCTGATGTTAACATGCAACAAAGAACATCATAATAAAACATTTAACCAACCCCAACAAAACCTATTCAAATTTTGCTATTTTTCTCTTCTGATTTCTGTTGGAGGCAATACATATTATAATAACTGGTATATTATAGTAAAAGAAAAATAAATTTTGAGATACATGTAGGTTAAGTCCAAACTGGATGTGGGAATGGAACTGAATGTTGATATCATTGTTAAATAGGTGAAGACCTAAAAATTAATAAATTACTCAAACAAGAGGCCAAAGGGCCTCTACAGTCACCTGAATGACAATGCTTCCAGTATCATGTATCATGGGGGTCAACTGAGGTCAATATATGCATCTCATAAAAAATTCAGCTTACCGCTTTACTAACAACTCTAACCAAGTCTGAAATATTTCTGAAAGAAATAAACAAACTATGCTTAAAAATTTAATTTTCCACTATAAGCTGTAGTAAATTTTACCCTCTCCATCCAAGAAGAGTATTTGATTCTACCATACATGGGATTTGAGAAGACTTTCAAATTTTCAATCAATTTGACCATTTTTGGTCAAGCCCCTCAGGCCCCTGGGGGTTGGGTACCATATAATTTACAATTTTGTTGGGCCTTTAGCCATGGAGGGTTTTCCTAAAAGTTCACTGAAATTGTCTGATAATTACAACATCAATCGAAATCAAGCTTAATCATTTATACAATTGTAGACGGGTTCAGAGGTCAACACAAGTTTTTATCATTAACAGATTAGAAACCTGTTCCATTAACAACCTGACCCCGGGCTCACATCACCCAAAACAAGTCAGCATTTCTTAATTCATCAGATATTCATAAGATGATAATAACATTTTCAGTGGTTGACCAGAAAGAGTTTGTCCTGAAAGCCTAAACCCCACATCCCCAGTCAGCTTTGAAAGATGTTGCTATTGTACTGTAGGCTGAACTGGCTTGAATGTGACTGTAAAGCACTGACAAAAATTGGCATGCAGTGTGTTTAATGTATTGGCTACCCTGAAGTCTAATATTAATTATGTTTTGTAAGGCTTCTCATATAGCAATTTCTACAGCTTCAATTCTCAGTAAAATTTGCTGCTATTTAATTCTGCTGTAATACATCAATCTAAGGCGATAAAAAGGAACTTCCTCCAAAAACATTTAATACAGTATTATGTAACCCTTACTCGGTACTTGATGCCTGAAAATCCTATTTGTTATCTTTATTCAATAGCTACTTAACACATCAGCTTCCGTTTCGTTTCCAGAAAACCAGAATTTAGTCAACACTACAGATAGTAAGGTTTCCCTACAATTTACAGTTCTTAGTGTGACATGAACATGATCTGTAAA